TTACAGGTATCAGTATACATAATATAGTGTAGGTATAACAGGAAAAACGCTATTTTATACCAGTAGTCACCATAAAATGAATTTCTCTGAAAAAAACACGTCTCCCATTAGCTTTAAAAAAAAAAAAAATACGAAAAACCGAGTTTTCCCAGGTGTAATATGAAACAAGCCCGTTTAATCGGCCATTTATCATTTTAATAATTATTAGAGCCACGTGCCTGAAAACTGCGGTCAACCTTGTTGAACATTTATTGATGGTATAGATCCAGAGGAGTGAGGGGGGCGATAGGGGTGGTCTGTCTCCCGTTCACTCTCTAATATGCTCTAAACTGCATTATACTCCTAGCTTGATTCATCATTGAACACGTCATAAATGCGTGCCTTATACGCGTTTTCAAAATGACCAGCTCCCATTTTTTCCCCGTTATCATGTCCTGGATCCACGTCCTTTTTTCGTTTGAAGCGAAACCTTTACGAAACAAAACAATATAAAGGAGATAATAAATTGGTTCTTAAATAGTAAATAAACTAATTATAATTAGGTAGTGGTTTGATTTCAATAATAATTTCAGGAAAATTATAAATAATAATTAATTAGATAATTCGGCCTTTAGAGTCATACCGTCTCACAAACACTCACCCAGCAATCTCTATTTATCGCCAATATCTTTCGATTCGGCCTACCTTCCACGTCCTCAAATTTTCGCGGCGTACGAGTCTTACTACACGTCTTTCAGTCCGGTCCTCGGTCTTTCCAAAGATATTTTTCCTGTTAAGAGTTTTGTTCTGGCACCGCCCGTAATTGTGAGCTTTAGCTTCGACGCAGATGTCTAGCGCATCGCAATCTTCTTTTTTTTTGATAACAACAAGTTACGTATTTGTTTTGACCTTTTCGGAGCAAAATATTGTCGAATAAAATTACGTAATCTTTGTTGCTATCGTTTTTCCGGGTTTTTTTTTTTTTATTTTGTTTTATAATTTTAATAAATTGTTTCATTATTAATTATTGAGCTCTAGACACAATAACATATTACATATGCATTATAATAAACGAATATCCAGTAATATGTAATAATATGATTCGTTATTACGTAGAAATGACGAATTAAAATCGTATAAATTAATTGTAGAAAAAATTACCTCTAATTAGTTTATACGATAAAAGTAATGATAATAACGATTTTATAAAAAACCGCACCGTAATTGTGGATATCCACGAGCTAGGTGCTATACAGACGTATACTAATTATGATTATAATAATGATATAGCGAATACCTTGGGGTCCAGAAATCTGTAATCTATTGTACGATCTACAATGACGCGAATTTCAAAAAAATTAAAATTAAAAAAAAAAAACGTAGTTCATTGTAGCTACAATATTTTTACTTTTAAATAATCTAATATAATAAAACAATGTATACGAAGCAAATGAGTTTTAAAAGTGCATTATTGTTATAGCGCAGACGGTATTGTTATTCGCTATTAAAATAATTAAAAGGAAATCGCATGTTTTTTAGAAAGTGAATTTCTTTATTTTATTTTCGATTAATTTACCTTATATTCTTAATAATTTGTCGTAATTCGCCGCATTTATAAGCGCGCGATTAAACAAATGGTTAGAGTATCGAGACTTTAAGTCACAAGTCTTAAAGACTTTAATAGTTTCATATTATGGTAATTCGTTAAAATCAACCATTTGGTATAATGTAATTTTTTAATTTTTTATCAGAAACTTTGTGGTACAATTAGCTTTGACAAACAATATTTTTATACTATAAATTAATCTGTGGTAAGCGCAGGCCCGTATTTAGCGGGTAAGTGGAGCACATGCCCGGGGGTCTTAGGTTTGGCAAAGTAGACAAAAATCTGCATACATAACTAATTTCTAAATCGTAATTTATTTTAATTAAATTTTTTTTTTAAAAAAACTTGATAGTTCGATAAAATTTCCATCGTAGATGGTATTTGGTGGTAGAAAAAAAAATGAGGTGAGCGTAATGAAGTTTAGTGTAGGCAACTATGACGATCACTTTTTTCCGTCGAAACAGAGAAATTAAAACGAATGGAAATCATTTCTACCTTCGAATATTATGCTCATTATACGTGTTATTACAATTACCAATTATCGTTAAATCTCATTTGCTAGCAATCCGAAATAATTAAATATTTATATATATTTTTTTATTAATATTTTTTTCTTTGCGTAGGTACCGATATGCTTTAAACAATATCAAGTGTAATATTTTCATTAAACCGCGTAGATTTTTCGAAAAACGAACACAAATTTTTCGAATAATTTCGATCGAATTGCCAATGTTTACAAATTTCAAATAGTGTCACAGCAGTCGGTATAGTCATTATCGCGGCCAGACAACGCTCCATTAGAGACGGAGATTTTTTTTTTTTTACTAACTGCGGCAGTTGACAAATCTGACGTAATACGGTAGCCACAAAATGTCTTAATTATTACCTGTATACACTGTTGTCGGTTTATTATTAGGTATTATTATTGTCCCCCTTCCCCTCGATAGCGCTCGTATAACGATTGTTATACAATGATAAAAGTAAAAATAATATGAAAAAAAAAAAAGTCCTAATGAAAAAAACGAACCTAATCTAAAGAAATAAAAAAAAAAAAAAAAACGATGTATATACATATTGTATTATACAACCGGTGAACGGGATACCGGTCAGAATCACGTCTATATTATTAAATTTATAAATATATATACATATAGGTAGTCGATATAGTCCCCCAGTCGAAGATCTCAGCTGCAGTCCGTTGATTGGTTTTTTTTTTTTTTTCGGCGGAGGGGAGAAGACGCCGGATAAGACGTCGCGGGCTAATAATAAACCGATTTGACGCAACAGGTCTCGTATTGTCTTAAAGAACCGTATATTATATTGTAGACACTCGTACCGGTGATGCGATGCTGTCACGGATTGTTTGTGGTGTTAAGTGTAGTGTACCTACCTAGTATGCGGTTTAAGTAGAAACAGGTAGACGTACACCGGGAGAGTTTATCGTCGGTAATCGGCCGGCTTTTGGTTTACGGATTTTTTTTTTTTTACCTATCGTAATAATATATATGTTCCTACCCCAATAGACGACCGAATCTTTATTTTCCCCGTCATAGTTTAACGTGAATATACAATATTGTTATTACGTCGTCGTTATCGTTATTTAGGATTATTTCTATTCGAAACGTCGCATAACGGACATAAAATACTAATTTTTTTTTTTTTTTTTTGGTGAATCTGAAAACGATTTTCCTATCAGATATTCTTTCTCCAATCGAAAACTTAACGGGAGGTTTCTTCTAGAATTGTTAATTCAGTTAGTGTATTATTGGGAAGGTCACTTCTTGTATTATTTTGACGATTTTCGAGTTACCTCGGAAACAAAGGAAACCTCGGAAACAAAAGGACAAATACGGTCAATAATACTCTGCTCAGAATCGTTATTCATTACTCCATTAGCAATCGTTTATTTTTGCGAACAGATATCAATGAAATTACTCTGTATAAAATTTGCCTTTCGAACTTTCCTCCTAAAAGAGACGCGCACTAATCAGGAATATTATCCATTTTTTTTTTTTTTTAAGCAGAACTCAGTAAACTGGTAAGGTTTTAGTAGAGGTCGATTATAGTTTATATCAAATAATTCATAAAAAAAAACTAAATTTCTTTTTTCCGAGCGTCTTATCGTATAATGTGATTGTGTGATTAACCACTGATTTTTTGATAAGTCCATTATGTACATGATTGATACTGTTTTATTGATATTTTGTGTCTATTATTCGTATATTACTTTAAAAATACGAATATATTACGTTAATTTTTCAATCGCGTTTTTTTTTTTAAGAAATATTGCATTTACGATATTTTTGATACGAATCAAAAACCTACCTTTAAAAAACGAATATTTTTATATTAAAAAGTAATTTTTCTTATTTTACCACTTTGGCTTGGAAAAGGCAGAAAAAATATTCCAGCTCGATTTGTATGAAATAAAATATAAAATAAACCATAATTGATAAAACTCACAGAATTAATATTAATAGGCATCGTGCCGTTTTATAAAATTTTGATGCGTCTTTTGAAGTGTAATTTTGTAAAGAAACAAACAGGCGATTCTGAAATGTTCATTTCGGATTCGATTTTGAGACGTTTTACTATTGAAAATTCTTATCGTTGTTAGTTAAGCCAGGTATTTATCAAGTTAACACCTGTGACGTGAAGATTTTATTTTCATTTATCTCAGCAACATAATATCGTTTTGATTGAAAGGTACACGAATAGTATTCATAAACACTGGCTGAAGACATTAGTGAACTTATGTGGCTAATAGTCTAAAAATAATTTTCGTAATCCGTTGGTATACGTTTGAAGACAGTAAAATAATACCGATATAAAAATACAATATAATATTATTAAACTCGGATTAATAACCTAAACGCGGAGTGAAGAAATGATGCGCGTTACTACTGTTACAAACCACACATAATGTAAAAAAAAAAAAAATACTAAAAACCGCAGACAAATATTTCAGGCCAGTATAATAGGTTCGAAATTGGAAGGTACGTGATAGTACTATTCTCTTCGGGAATAATTTTTTTTAGTGTAATAATGCGATTGTTACAAGCGCCATATTAACTTTAAAACATCAATACAGAAACGCTAACAAATTTAGCAAGCAAAACAAAAAGTCTCTAAATTAAATAACAAACAAATTTGATTGAACAAATTTGCTACAAGGATGACAACTTATACATACTTATTAATAATGTGACAAAAAAAAAAAAAAAAAAAAAAATAACTAATAATACTAACTATTTATTTAATAATAAAAAATAAATGTTGAACACAATTTTTTGCGCGAAAACTCTTAATTGCTATAATTTTTACACGCATAGAAACTACAAAGATCAAAGATTTATGAGTTAACGTAATTATCAACAAACTTATTTAAAATCTATTTGAACTATTTGAAGTAGGTATAAAATTGAAATCGGAAAAATTTTCACGACGCACAGTACTGTATTTTTTTATTTTTTTTTTTTTATAAATCTGTTAATTCCATCTCGCCGGGGTTTTTTGCATATTTTGTTTTATGTTCTTCGAAAAGATTATTCAACTCTGTGGTGAATATTTGATGGTACTTGTCTACATCTTCGTCCTTTGGATTGGCGATTTTCGGCAAGTCAATTGGTTTACCCACTGAAAATTATAGTTTTTTGTTGAATAATTAACGCGGCACGCTAAAAACTTATAATCTCATCGTGCTTTATTACTGCCTAGGTGTAATTAAGTAGGACAGAAATATTACTAAACTTCCTAGGTAAATGAAAGCTTCTATACATTAACACGTGAAGTTGTATTTTGGACTGTTTACAGTGCTAATATACATAAATATAGACATGATGATGACATCATTTATTATTGTATCTGTTGCGTTCACTTGATAACGCATTTTAATAAGTTATTAAATTTAAAGAAAAACAATACCGTGTTCTAAATGGAGTTCAGGGTGAAAAATTAACCTATTAAATTAGGTTATGCCATAATATACATTTCTAGACATAATCAAATGTTTATATTGATAAGTTATTTATGAACATAAATGGTATTCTACTGATTCTTAAAAACACCTATGAGCAGTTTCGTCTTAAGGAGCCGAAAACCATTAAAAAAAACTAAACAATAGGGAGTTGAAACCAAAAAACACACCCTTGTTACAAACGCCATACGTATTCAAAATTGCGTTCCCCTTGATTTATTTGGAGAGTCTGTAGCAATGAACAAAGTTAAAACAAAAACACTCTCCACACGTAAAAACATTGTTAAATTCATATTTAAACTCAGCTCGATTTTTATCACTTCAACCCGTCTATAAAACAAATTTAATTCCCGAGTTTGGGCTTCATTGGTTCAAATGAAGCCGCTATAAATGTTCAAAGCACAATACAATGATATCTATTTTCGGAGAAAATTCAACAAGAATTTAACGAATTTCTCAATTCGGTTAAAATGTGAATATAATTTATTATTGTGCAATATGCGTGAGTGTATAATATTTATAGGTACTAAATTTACCATAAAGAAACGTATTATTATAATTCTAACGAATTTACGACAAAAAATAATAAAAAAATAAAAAAAACAAACAAACGCGCACTATAATTAATATGAATGTTAAAGAAAATATGTTAATAAGGATTAAAAAAAAAAACAACAATAACTTCCATGCATTTTTATGAGCCATTAAACGTCACAAAATTATATCTGCTATCGATTGAATATACATATATATATATATATGGTAAATACGGTGGTTATATGATTATATATGTATATATATATATATTTTTTTTTTATTAAACGAATTATTTCCGCATATCAATAAAAACTTAACGGTTATTTTTCGTTTTTAGCGATAGCAGTAAACGTTTTTTCAGCGTTATTTGTTATTTAATATTTCTTAATATGACCAAATAGGCAGGCGCTAAAAATGTATCTGTTATCGAACTGGTGGTTTATGTGTATATATAAACATGGTATGTATAAATAAAAGTGAATCACCTATAAACCTACCTGTCGGAATACTTATATTCGTATTCGGTAATTTCATAATTAAATAAAAATACGGTGTTTAATTTCTTATTTTATCATTTAAAACGAACAAACAATTAATTCTAGCGTAGTTTTAAATAATTTCATCAAATTTCAAGTCGTTACCACTAAAAAATATAGTGAATAATAAAGGTAAATGCCTAACTACATATGGATTATACACCTTCTTCCGAATTATACAGTTTTAAAACTAGGCGTACGGAATTTCAATACTTTTATTTAGGGCTGGACGAAGTGGGGCTAGGGGTGTTGTTTCTCCGGGCCATAAGGTAAAGGGTGCTATAATGTTTTGTTTCTTTCGGATTTTTTTTTTAGATTCTAAGTGTAGCGAAGAAACTATTAGCTTTATTAAGATTTTACGTTTTTTTTTCTTCAGTTAATATATTTCGTTTAGTAAAATTGTTTCGTATTTTAAAAGATGCCGAAATTTTACCTACTGGAACATTATTGGATAAATTTATGAATATTTCCACCAGAAATTCACTCTCTGGGTTTTTTTTTGTTTTTTGAAAAAATATACACAGACTAAAAATCAGTGAATGAATTTGATAAAATAATTGTTTCGGATAAACGTGCTACTCAGGCTAAGATTGTAATCCAGCTCTGTTCCTACTCTCAAATCTATAACACAAAACATTTTAGAAGCCCCTGTTATAATATGTACTTAGCCTAACAACATGCTCGGGGGACATTATTGTAAATCACAATGTCACTTTGTGTTTGGATTGTACATGTGGATTCAATATGAGTATATTATCTTCAACGCGATTTTCAAATATTTACCAACAGTAACGATTGGACGTCTACGGGGTATTATACCGAAACTGTATTGAAACAATCCTCGTCCTATTGGTATAACATTGTCGCCTTTCCATTTAATCGATTTCATCACTTTTCCCCAGAATGAATTCGGTTCCGCTTCATATGCGCCGAACAAGTTTGTCTCGCCAAAAGAAAATACAGGTACTAACGACGCCCTGTATAAAATATAATATTATTATCGTGTAGTTAAAATAATAAGGGTTTTAAAACATAAAATAATAATAACTTGATTTTTTTTGTTTTTACTATTATAAATTTTGATATACCCGGTTTTTAATGCCACTCGGACGAATCCTCTTCTTCTTTTCAGAATGATACGATACTTGCCTGGATAAGATTTAAACGCCTCGGAAACACCGCCTACTATAAGAACGGCTACATTTCCTTTTTCTCCGTCCAATATATTTATCAAACATTTTTCTGACGATTCTTTTATACCTGTAGCAAAAATTAATTAAACTGATTATCTAGACAATAATAATAATAATTATTATTATTATGAAAATCGTATGTACATTTCAGTCACAAATTTTGAAAAAACCAGAATATTTCTAAAATAAATTATATATGTATTTGTATTTGTATAAAATTCTGTATGTATATAATTATTAGTCTATACACGTCTACAGTTGTATGCCTATCTTGATGAAACATTACAGACTAGAAAATCAAAACCAGAAGATTTCCATTTACTTTTTTATCCTCAGAGAGAACTCCTAAAGGGTAGTTCACGATTTATTTTGGATATTTTAGTACGAAAAAATTGAATTGTTTTGGTTAATTTAAATTACCTTGGTGACACGAATGAAATAAAATAATAAAAAAAAAACAATTATTAATATTTAATTTGATTGTCACAGACAAGGGAGCATCATTTTTGGCAGATAAATTTCCAAGTAACAACGATTGACTATTATAGGTACAAGGGTGATGACGGAGAAACATATTAAATATACAGAATTTTTTTCAGACGAGCCCCAGTAATTCAAGCAGTATAATATACCTACAAAATATATTTTTTAACGCGCAAAATAACCTTTCCTCGTACAAATTATAAAACCAATGATTAAAAACGTAAATAAACATAATTATAGTTATAAAACAATTGTATTAAATTACCATAAATAAGGTAACTACGACCTGCATGTTCTTTTATATTAAGAAAATATTTCTGAAATTGCGAGTATAATTAATGTATCTAATTATAGTATACTGTGTTTTATTGAATACAGCGATGAATGTATTCGCTTTACAATGATATTTATTATATATTTTTTTTATACTGTGTGCTAAAATTCTACCAGAAATCTTGTACCGATGTATTAAGTACAACACCTTTTCTGAATGGGAATTTTATCTAGTTAGTACTTTAAAGAGGTCATTCTTTGATGTTTTAGTTTTCATAATAGTTTGAAAAAACTGAAAAATAACGATGGAAAAACGGACAAATTTACGAAAATAATGCTTTTATTACTTTCAATGGGTTTAAAATCAAATTTCGGCGAAAACCGTAAATATTACGGCATAAACGTGTTTAACCGAACTTCGCTCCGAATCGTTTTTCGTTGGTAACAGGTATAAATTAAACAACTTTATGTAACCCACCTTCCAAACTACCAACCTACAACAATAACTACCTCAGTCTCCAGTATCAGCTCTTTTTATATTTAATATTTGTCACGTTACCAAACTTAGCCGATTTCAATGGATCGTGCTAAATTAATTTAGAGGCAATCAAACGTATAATAATGGAATTATCAGTAACATACTCTACGAACCGAACTGAAACCGGCTAGGGAAAAAAAATGCGAAAACTGTTCATCAAAAAATGTTATAATATGTTTTACCGCCACTCCGGGGCAGTTAAACGGGGGGGGGGCATAATTTAATTATTAAAAGATTGTTTCTAAATATTAAATTTCAACATATTGTAATTTTGACTACTTTATAATAAGAAAAAAACTCTCCTAGCTATAAAATAATTATATTTGTAGAATAAAAAATTTTAGTTGCCATTTAAAAAAGTAAGTTTTAATGTACATGAGCAAACTAAAAGTGTTAACAATTTTAAATTTGTCTGAAAATGTGTGTTTCGGTATTCCTTGTTCACTTTCCGAAAACCCCATTTTAATCGAATGCCATCCAGCTGAAATATTAAGTGGTACTTCATATGGTAAACACACGGTATTTATTTATACAAAAAAATATGCTATATTTAATTAAATTTGTTAAACAATTGTCCTTAATCCCCTCATGAAAAAAATCATTTATCCGCCACTGCTTTACCGACGATATGATTGGCATTATAATAACATACTCACCTACGCCAATAGCGATTTCACGAATGAAAGGCATAATAAAATGAAAACCCAAAGATATAATAAACGTTTTGAGGCCGGGAAATAATTCAGAGAATTGATTAGCGTCCGTTCCGAAGTTTATTAATGCTCCATAAGAGAAAACACCATGTGGATAAGTGGCGAATATGTACGATTTATCGGCAGGCAAATCGTGAGTCTTCACTAGGGATACTGGAAAATAATTCTTCAAGTGAGTCCACGTAACCAGTTTTCTCACAAATGGATATCTATAAAGTCAAAAATTTAAATACACAATAATTTATTATATGTAAACATTAGGTAAACATAGGGTGTAAACAAATATATTTTTAAAAATGATAACCTTAATATAGTCCGAAACCTGCGGATATTGAATCATTCATCTCACAAGTTTCACCTCGGAACAAAACAAACGTGACATAATAATTAAATGACGCTTTTTGTGTCATTTTATTTCCAACAAATAACACATTTTAATGATTGACTGTGTATACGGTGCCGAATTAGGAGACTTTGGTCAATCGTACTCAATATCCCGCTGGTACGTCAATTGACGGTTTATTATTTATAAGGGTCAGTAGGGAACCACACGTGAAATTGTCAACCTGAAACCTATCAACTAATATGCAAGTTCTTACTCGTCTTACGAAAATGTAGGCCAAAGCACGCCACTAAGGCTAATTATTAATAATCGATCTCACCCAAAAAGTAAAACATGGAATCCGCTAAATATTAGTTGGAAAGGTACGCCCATTGTAACACAACAAGACTCAAGAGTCCGATGGCCAACAAACAACGGAATAAAACATCTTCTGCTGTTTTCAATTCGTATTCGTATAACACCTGCGAAACGTAACTTATAAACTTATTTTAGATTTTGTTTTGAGAAAGGTTTTTGTAATTGTCCGGTTTCGGTTTTTAGTGTTAACAAATGGCCGGCGGGAGGCATAAGCGCCAAAATAAGATAAGATCGTACGAAAGCGCCAAAATTTTAGGTGCCTGCGTGCCACGGTTAATAGATATATACATATATAATAGATGTATTTATTAACCGTGTCTGCGTGATATTAAATTTAGAACTATATCGTTGATAAACTCCAAACGTTTAATCTTAATCGATTATTGCCAATTTTTAATACATTTTTAAATACCTACACGTACATAAAACGTATAAACAATTAATTTTGGTGCAAATTAAATGTCATTGTTGCACCTTTGGTGTTCGCGTCGTGTAATCCAAACGGGAAACCGCGGTTTTAACCGATTCGTCAAAAAAACCGGCTCCGAGCCATACATACATGTTATACGAAGAACGCGCATAAGCGGATGTAAACACACTCTAGCACTGCGATGGGCCTAAGCTTGTGTCGGAGTGCAGGGAGTTTTCATTGTTCTAGTTTTATGACGAAAATTTAAAGAAACCGCAAAAATCAAATGGCTTAAATCGAATTCATAAGCGCTCCGATCGTACGCGTTTTCCGTTTTACCTCAACGTGGTCGAACACCCGACGGGTCGGTCGATGCAAATCCACAACAGGTACGCGATTCCCAGCCACGTGTACCGCGTGTCGATTATTACGTACAAAAGGACGGACCAGCCGGTGATCGGTCCGAACAAGATTATGTACGTCCAGACGAACGCCGCGAGCGTCTCGTACCTCCGGACGAGCGGCACGAACGCCGGGGCGAATTCTATTCCTTTTATTTGCATTTCGCGCGGGATCCGTGTGCCTGTTGGCGCGACGACGGCGGCGCAAACGAACAAATGCCGGCGATTCGCCGGACGTTCAGTCGCGTTCGGCGCGCCCTCGGTCTCGGACGGCCCGTCAACACGCAATTCGAACGCGGAAATCGGCACGAAACGATCGCACGTGGCAGCGTCCCGTCGGCGGCGTACCGATATCCGAACTAATAGGCAGCTAATCCGACCGCGGAGACGACTATTCGTCCGTGATCGAACGACTACGCCATTTATACGTTTTTACTGCCGACGGCGTTTAAAGTTCGATAACGCGCACGCCGTCGAGGCGGCGATATTATAAAACCGCCGGCCGCGTTTTGAATTACCGTACTTGGCCTCTGAACCCGGCCGGCCGTCAATTCATTTTTTTATTGTTCGTACGGTTCAAGTCGGAACTCGTACAAATAAATAATCCCGACCGTATATCCGCGTACGCAATATACATTGACAGCTTCCCTATAATGACCGTCGGCGGTCCGACGTATACGCGCGGAGATTTCGAAAAATAACTACACGATCGCGGTGACGTAAAATCGCCGGGGGTGTATTTTGAACTTGAATGGCGATGGTTTTTTTTTTTTTTTCATCCACACACTCCGATTTCTTAGTAGACTCGTTTGATTATCAATCGAGAAAAAATTATCGCAATATACCGAGTGATTCGTTTGTATGGGTACGCTCGTTTTCTCGGAAAATATCAATTTTTTCCGGAATTCGTTATCTTCTAGAACATTTAAGAAACAAGCTGCCCTACAATTATATATTTATGTTATTTTTTTTCACCCTTATTTTCGGAGGTAAAACCACTACCTACTTTTGATTTTCAAATGGCAGCCTGTATTAAAAAGTCCATAAATAGATGGAGTATTAGTTAAATTACATTTTAGTGTTGACATTTTGTGAATCAAAATAGGTAGCGATTTTATCCCCAGAAATAACATAAATATAAAACGACAGAGCTGCTCGTTTCTGAAATGTTATAGAAAACAAATTCCGAAAAAAGTTATTACTTTCCGAGATAATGAGTGTATCCACTTAAATGGATCACCTGGTAATTGATTGTGTAATATACAGTATACTTTATTTCATATCAATAATGCCATAATCAAAAAAAAAACAAAAATTGCAATGGATCTATTTCTGTGCCCCTTTACCCTAAATTGGATATATTTTCAAGGTATCATTTGAGTGGAAGTGATCACATCACATATTCTTTTATTATATTTTATTACCTACCTATTATATTTAAAACAATAATTTAATATTTCCTGATATTTCGGGGGAGGTGGCAGTCCCCTCAGCCTCCATGAGTACGATCTTGGAACTGGAAATATAATACCTTATAAAAGACAGAAAATGGTTAAAAAAAAAAAAAAAATGATCTTGTAATCTAAAAATTCAAAATAACGTTTAAACAAATTTGAAAGATATAAAATATCACTAAAATCAAAAATTATCAAACATCGTCAATAAATGTAAACTTAAATTTCTTTATGGCATTCAAAAATACCAGAAGCGAATTTGTAACAATACACAGTAAGTTTTGAAAAGAAAAACAAAATGCATTATTGTTATTACTTGAGGTATGTTATATTTTTAAGAAACATTGGTGTATTATACCGTAATCAAATTAATTGGTCATAATGATAATATTATAGTATAAATCGTGTTGGCGACTGCTGCTGCTGATCCAGTAGTTCTAATTGTATACGGGTATACATTTATTTTTAACTCGTAGCTCAGCGCGTGTTTCCAATATTAGTTCAATTATTGTTTAGCTATTAATTTCCGATCAATAAATTATTATTTATTTGTCCACGGGAATTAAAAAAATCGTTTATAATACATTTAACAAGGAGTGTTTAGTAGCGTTTATTATTTTTTATATTATAACCAACCTCCCTGCAGCGGAGTAATTATCATTATTCATGTACCAATGTACGGTAATATTGTTGCTATGATCAAAGGCGATCGATTTGGCGAGGTAACTTTGATTATATATTGATTAAAACAGTAGGTGTAACTGTATAGTACGCAGTTTAGATATAGTACCTAGTACTATAGATTTTTATTGTTAGATGATATCAAAGACAGGGTTGCGTGTAATACAAATAGATTTCGTTATTTAAAAAATTCTATATAAAGAAAATCGATAATTGTTAAACTATTTATAACGATAAATAATACGTAACACTTAGCAAGAAACTTTTTATCGAGTGCAAACAAATAATGAAACAATGCCTATCATAAAAGTAAGAGCGACTTAACAATAGTATGTACACATCTAGATTTCAAAACTGTCGTGTGATTGTTATAACATAATAATTAATTTATAAAATAATACGAATTCGACATTTTACATATATTATTTTAAATACATTTGTTTGTTACTTCCAAATATAAAAAAAAAAAAAAAAAAACAAACCAATACTGATTGTAGAGCCGCAATATCAATACAATTGTTCAAACCTTTTCATATTTTACTCAACGAAATCTAAATAAATAAATAAAACTAATTATTCATAGTTATGACGTACTTACATATACCTACTAGTTGATCGAAGAAGCTTTTAGTTTTACAAATGTGGATTTTTTTTCTCAGAAAATACTTAACGGTTAGTAAAAATGAATTGCATTTTTCATATCGTCTCTGAAAAAAATGTTATTTTAGTCCAATGGTACTTTATTTGAAAAGTATTTCTAAACTCTAGAAAATTTCGAAAAGATTATTAATGATGGTTTTTTATTAATTTTATTTATTTTATTTTGTTTAAACACTTTTCGGTTAATAGAAATGCTCTGGTTTTCTCACGCGGCTTAAAAAAAAATGTAAACTTTCCAACCCGTAGTATATAATGTGATAAATTTGTTACCTTGGCAACTAAAAAAATAACAATAATAGAATTGTTTTTCGTTTGCAATGAAGAATCACAATTAAATACAGTAACTATGTAGGCAGATTCACTAAGCGTGCTCAACGAGCACTGTTTATCCCGTTTTTCTGGTTAGATTATACATGTATACAAATTCTGATATTTTCGAATATTAAATCGTAGTTAAAGCCAATATTTTAAAATACTTAGACTTTTCAAAACATTTAAGGGGTATTAGGTGGTGATACAAACTTTGGTTTTTCAAATGGGAATTGTAAATATATCAAGTAGTAGATACTATAGAGATAATAAATATATGTTAATAGTATCCAAAATTGGACATAGGTATGCATTAACGTACGTTATATACAACACATTTATTCATGTTTAAATACCAATTAATACTTGCTTTACATATCTATGCCTACAATGAAAAATTATACAAAGGAAAAATAAAAAACATTATGTGATTAAAATTATAGCAAACAAATATTAAATCTAAAAAGGTTAAAAAATGCAATTATATCATTTTAAATATGCACTTTACACTATACAATTTTATTCCTGATTAAATTCTTCTGATTTTTCATTGTTTCTTCTGGCTCGCTGATCATCAAATGTGGCCTTTTTCTAAAATCAATTTTTTTTTAGTGATAGTGCGTCGAAAGGATATTTTTTGATTTCCG